ACGACAATTTTGTCTGTGAACGTTGACGTTTAAAAAAAATGTACATTCGTCACTAAAACAAGTAATGTGGAGATAGGTAGGATGAGGTAGGATGCCTTGCAATCGTTTCCGTCATGATTTCGCAGAATTCTGTTCTTCGATCAGGGTCGTCTTCAGTCAATTGGTGTACCATTTTAATTTTGTATGGATGATACCTATTTCTCTTCAAAAGTCTCCACACAGTAGAAGGAGACACCTCACTAACATTCACGAGGAAATAATTAGACAGTTCAGTTCTACTAGTAAGACCGAAAACTAAATGAGAATATTCTAACTGAACAATGATGTTCATTGTCGTACTGACAGTTTTTGTCGTTTTTATAAACAAAAAATAACTTAACAAACCTTATCGGGTTGTTGGAATTGCCATATGGCAGATAAAAAGGAATATTTGTACAAATATCGATATTAGGTAATGTGTTTGTCTTCAGGAAATTATTTTATCCCAAATTTCAATTTGTTGACCCGTTCAAAAAATAAAAGGGGGGGGAGGGACATTAAAGAAATGCACTGTATATGCAGATGAGACCAACCTCTACTACACTGATCATACCTATAGAACATCTGATTTTAAGCAAACAGAGACCGACAGAGGGCAATGGAAAAGTTACAACTCGATGGGCAGTATATAACATACACCGAATCTGTAACAGTTCTAGGATTGACTAGTGACCATAACTCGGACCATGATCTGAAGTTTTTATTATATATAAACCCACTAATCAGGCGCGCAAACGGTTTAATGATACTGACTGATGTAATACTGCATGGCCCTTACCTAGGTCTACAAACATCCTCCCGGATACATTAAGTACAAAACGCCTAAATCATACTCTTTTTTGGGGTTAGTTACCAAACCCGTACTACCCCATTTGTTAATGAGATTAATTGTTAGTAATCACACGTTAAAAGGTAAGACCTCGTTAATCCTTAGCTCGCACAAGTTTCGACTTCTGAGGGTTGTCGTTCGTAAGGGTGCGACAGCTGATTAAGGAAAAAACAGATTTTAAACGTACTTGACGTGAGCATCACGTATTTAAACTTTGTATGTTGACCCCAGAGACTGACCAACATACATAAGCAATAACTTCGTTCAACTGATCTCAAAATTACAAAATATTCTTTAAAATTATATGAACGCTAATTTTCTTACCGGGCAGCAACTCTGTTCAATACCTTCTTGAAAATCTAATCCTTTTTTATTTCGTTTTCAGGGAGTAGTGAAACAAGTCTAAAACGCTATCATCTGTAGATAAATAAAGTTTTCTTATACATTTACATGATATACATTTCATTTAGTGGTAAAATAGCCATGTTAGCCATGCTAAACTCCGTATAGACACTTTATTATTGTTATCATAATTATCACCGAAGCTCCGACATATTCTGGAAGGCGCGCCAGCATTATCAACCAATGACCACTACCCACACCGCGGGGTGAGTGTGCATTGGGTCCGAGAATCATGTGCCCTGAGCAAGCGCAGTGAGCCTAGAATGATAGCCTTCTGTATGTGTCCGACCAAAATTACCGCCCTCGTGCAAATTCGAGAGTAGAGAGAACAGCAATAATCAGAGCGACCATTGTAACAGAGTGATCTGGACAGAGTCTGCGGAGTTCGAAGAGAAAATCTCGAAACTTCATTCGTTTTTCGTCCTCTTTTCGGGCGATATTCGTGTCACCGGGAGCTGAAAACTTCACGACGAATATCGTTTTTCTCTGTTGGTCGAAAAGAACTATATCAGGGTTATTAGTCTGAGGGTACGAAATTAACGGTTCCAATAAATTCAGCACTTCTAATTCCCCACAACGTAAAAGTGCCGTAGATGGTAATAAAGAAGTATAAGGGCATCATATCGATGAAAACCGGCTGAGACCTCATGTGCTGGACATGTTGACAACAAGTACATTAGGGTCTCAGACGCCTCCCTGCAGATCCTGTATCTCGTGTCAGGAACCTACCTCTCTATATATTTCCGACTCCAGCCCACTCGACCTGAGAAGGGGAAAAGTCAGGTGATAATTGGGTCCAAGAATCATGAGCCCTGAGCCAGCGCAGTGAGCTAAGAATGACAGCCTGCTGCATCTGTCCGGCTAAGATTTCTGTCTCAAAGCGGAAAACCATCTTGACAGAGTGGTCTGGATAGAGTCTGCGAAGGAGTTTGGAGAGAAAATCTCGATATTTCATCCATTTTTCCTCCTTTTTTTGGACGATATTCTTCTCGCCAGGAGCTGAAAAGCCCACAACAAATATCGTCTTGCTCTGGTCGTCGAGCAGAACTGCATCAGGCTTATGATCTTGTATGAGCCTGAGGGTGGGAAACGGAGAATTCCAATAAATTCGGCACTTCACGTTTATCACAACGGATTCGATATCTCCCGGAGCGTAGGTCAACACCGGTGTCTCGTCAATACTATAAGAGTACCGTAGGTGGTAATGGCTGACACCAACTGCAATAGGATCTCGGATGGATGGTGTTAAAGACACCATTCTGGCAGGCCATGATGAACCCCTCAGTTTTCGACTTCAGCCCACTCGACCTGAGACGTTATTGAAGAAGACCCCATGCACTGGCTTATCCTTGTGTTGCCGCAGAAGTGATCCTTTTGCTGAACGGGTTTCAACTCGGTGATAGGGTTGTGATCATCTCGTTCAGTGTCAAAAACTAAACCGAATTCATCAGCTGCTCGGACAGCTGCCCTAAAGAGGAATGCTCCAATTCCTGCTTTCTCATGGTCACAGACCATGCAGAGAAGGGGATCTGAACTTCTGACGAATTTACAGACTCCATCCTTACCATTCTGTCATGTAGACATTTCAAACTATACGGCCTCCCTATTGTCGAGGGAAGTACAACCGTGGAACGTACGATTTGGAATACAAAATCCTATGGAGATGCATCATTTTTCGGGTCTTTACGTCGAATTGATACAGTTTCTCCCTACCATTATTATTTTTTTTTATTATTATTCTGACATCGACTGCTGAGGTCATTAGCCATTTTGTAGTATACGATATCTGTTGCTTTCAGAAAGTTCAAAATATTTCTTATAGCTTTGGTACCGAGGCAAGTTCTGATATTATCCGGTAAGTTATATCGTTGTCGATCGGCTACATACTGGTGGCATTCTAAGAGAAGGTGTTTAACCGTCATTAAAGTTTGAAAATTTTCGCAGGATGGTTGTCTTTGTCTTCTCAGTATATAGGAGGGTGTTGAGTTCGTATGTCCTATCCTAAGTCGTGTTATTATGACTTGTTCTCTTCTCGTTAGCCCTTGTGGAAGTCTCATGGCTGCAATATCAGGTTTGATATCTTTCAATTTTGAATCGTTGTTTTGTCCAATCGTGTTGCCATTTGATGAGTATTGAGTTTTTTTATGAATTTTTTGTGTCATTTGGACTCACAGGTATATTCAGATCGACATTATTCTCAGTTGCAGCTCTTGCTGCAGTGTCAGCTTTCTCATTACCGTCTATTCCTATATTATTATTGGTATTATTGTTCTTATGATTATTATAATTATTAGCACACTCATTATAATACATAGGTAAAATTATAGCAAAGTATAAATAAGCGATTAGATAAAAATCTGAAATATCATAAATCAGAAGTTCCTAATTGAAACAAGGATATAATTCGAACGATAAGAGATATAAATATGATTAAAAGATAATTAGGCTGATATTTCACCACTGAACAAAGTTATCTTGAAGGCCCAGTATAATATTGGCATTGGCATCCAACAAGTTATATCAAAGAGAAAATATAACTCATTTCTATGAAAAACCACCTGAATGTCGTATGTTTAATAGTTTGAAAATAATATCAGTTCAATACTTCAATCTATAGTGTTATAAAAAACTTTTTTTTAAAGTGTACCTAGTTTTGCTACATGCGACCGTTTCTGGAATTATAAAGATTCTTTTATATACACTTACGTTTATAAATACTTAGATATCTTATCAACAGATGACGTAAAAAATGTATCCAGAGTTGATTAGTGCCACTTTCAGTTGCAGAATAATATAACAGTTCTACAAAAAATTTCAACATTATCTAAGATATTTGAAAATTTCATTGATTGCTAAATTTAAAAAATTGTAATAAAAAAAATTAACTTTAGTAAACACAAGATCTTCTTAATTGTGAGTATATACAATGGCTTCACATTATTATAGAGGGTGTTTTCTAATTACGGTACGAAACTTCAGAGGATGATTCGTTAGATTGTTTTAAGAAAAAACGTTCCTATGAACATATGTCCGGAGTTGCCACGTTTCTGAGATACAGGGCGTTGCAGTAAAAAAATCGCTTTTTATAAAATGTCATAAATAACCTTACAGAGATTTGGAGTAAATTTGCTACGCTTATTTGAAGTAGCAAATTTCAACCAAATTGGTGTAAGGATATTTATGATATTTTATAAATAGCGGTTTTCAAACTTCAACGCCCTGTATGTCAGAAACGAAGCAACTCTTAAAACGACCAAACAAATCACCCACTAAGTTTTGTATCGTAGTTAGGAAACACCCTGTATATCGTAAATAATGAAAGAGTTCCAGGAAGTGTGACACTTATATTGTTAAATTTTCCCCTATTTCAGAAACCATTTTTTATATTCTCTAATTAATGATAGTTTTGAATTATTAGAGAAAAACCAAATGCCTTCCTTTCATTTTAATTTGTTAATGCCAATTGCTATGTTTATGTCCTGTAAAATTATTGAAATAGATCACAAAAAGAACTATCGCACGTATTTTCATGAGCTTTATTTCTATTTTACACGAATTTCAACTTGTAAAGCAGACTAGCATTTTCATCTCCCTGTCCGGCCGGACAGCCGGATGCCTAGACAGGCCCAAAAACAAAACAATTTGCAGCCAGCGAGAAGTCATGTGAAGAGAGGTGACAGAACCTGTTCAGAATAATAAACAACTGATGATTAGCAATATACATACTTACCTGAGAATATGTCAGGTACCTCAGATCTAAAATTCCAAGTTGTGGGAATAATTGAGTATACACGATCTCTTCCAAGAAGGGTCGATTTGCGATGATCGTTTGACGTTCCTTTCGATTGAATCTTTTTGTTTGAAATCAGTTCATACCACTCTTCTCAACTGTTTCGCGGAGAAGCCGGTTGGAGACTATTGATCTGCAAAACAGACACTCAGACACACCAACACTCCGCCCGATAACGTGATCAAGAGTTTCTAAATTGTAACACACTGAAATCAGTAGATTCTGTTTACTTTTCAACTGAAAGATTGAATATTCATTTCAGCAGAGGAACGTTCTCAACCATAGACAATGTTAACTAGACTAAAATGAAAACAGAAGACAAGAGGTTTGCCGCTACGGCGTTGCCAAGCGGTCCATAATATCTGAGTTTTGGAACTTTCAGTTGCAATTTTCGGATAATTGCAAACGTCAATTTTCTTAGAATTACCAATTCTACTCACTGAACTGAAACAACAGGTCATAATAATTCTTCAAACACCTTTTGAAAGTATTGATGCTATTTTTTGATAAGCAGACAAACAGTATGGATCCATACTGGCGGCTGCTCTACATCGTTATTCTGGCGACATTGGGTCGTAAACGGAATCAGTGACGCATTGTGTGTCTGAAAGCGTCCTTAGTTGTACTGTTGTACAGGGTTAGACAAATTTCCCCCAATTTTTCCACCTTAGGGGATTTGTTCGTCTAACTACTAAGTATTGTTTTCATCTTCAAATTTTTATATTTATTCGACCAGTGCAAAAAGTAAAAGTTAATATCACGTGACGTTAATCTGTAAAACGAGGCCGTCAGTCAGAAGGGCCCTATTCTTGAATCACTCATAGATTTCAGCGAAATCATCAACAACTTTTCGTCCAAAAAAAAGATCCATTCGTTAACGCAGTATTTTAGTTTTTGATAATAAATTGTATTTGACTTCAAAAAATTACTACATTCTTTGTTGAAATAATTTTATTTGTTGAAATTTTTAAAAGACTTTGAAAAGAATTATTTAGTTGGAAAATAATTAACAATTAGGAGCCTCCACTTCTTCGTTGCCCCAGAGCCCCCAGACTTCCAAATACGGCCCTGAATACGGTGATACTGTATCATTTTGTCGGACATCGGATTCCGTGTTAGGAATCACACGTTAAAAGGTAAGACCTCGTTAGTCCTTAGCTCGCACAAGTTTCTCAACTTCTGAGAGTTGTCGTTCGTATGGGGGCGGCAGCTGATTAACGAAAAAACAGATTTTAAAAACAGATTTTTAAACAGACATCACCGATCTGTGCAAAAATTGAGATTCAGTCTCAACTTCAAAGTTGACTCTCCATCAGCGGTTGCTTTTTAGGAAATTTCTTATCATTCAAACTACGCGACTTATGACGAAAACAATGCTGGTCCCTACTTTCTTCGTAAAATGTGAAAGGTACTGGATTAGAATAGAAAATAATCGTTACCTCTTATTCAGCAATGAAAGCCTTTAGGATGAGTAGAATATTTTTCATAAGATTCGTAAAAAATAATTACGCTTTTCATAATCGTTGCGTCGCAAATGTCAAAAACCTCACTTTTTGTAACTATAAGAAAGTTTCACTATTCATAAAATTAATATGAATATCTATTCAATCATGTGGAATTATAATGCATTGATTTTCTTTTTATATTTATTGAAAAAATAAAATCTCTCTTCATTTCATTTTTCAATGAAAACAACTAAACAATTTATTATTATTATTAACACGCCGAAATTTTTTCTGTTTATTGAAAAGAATCAAGAATATGGAAATCCCCAAAATATTTTTCTTCTTCATACTTTTGTAATTACCAAATAACAAATCACTCTAAATTAATGGTTGCGCCACCTATTAGTCGGTAGTCGAACAGTTCATAGTTTTATAAGACTCGATCTTAACCTGCGTTCAAAGAAGAAATCTTTTTCAGCGACATGTAACGAAGAGATACGCGCCAAGAGATGTTGCTGACAATTTCTGAAGAAAACTCGCTGATTGATCAGAGATATTAATTCCTTAAAAATTATAGACTTGCAAAGGAAACATTGTATTTCAGTGAAATTAGTTGTAGATTCGTCTTTCATCTCCAGAAAATCTTTTAAACAACAGATGCCAGCGCCGTCGGCAAAATGTCAAAGACCTTATTGACAGTTCGTCGTCTGTCGCCGTTTAGGTTAGGTTATTCTTAAAGTATCCATGAAAATTCCAAATTTTGTGAAAACAATATTTTTCGGAGTACCCATTGGTATAACAATCATAGATGTTTTTGGATATGTAGCCAGGGTTGATGGAATTTCTATGCAACCTGCGCTAAACCCCGATGTGAATCAAACAGATTATGTATTTCTGAACAAATGGGTTATAAAATCAGAAGAAATTAATCGTGGAGACATCGTGTCATTAATTTCTCCCAAAGATCCATCACAAAAAATCATTAAGAGAGTCGTTGGAGTTCAGGGTAAGAGGCTGAATGTAAATAAATACATGAATATATCTGAGGGTGTGTTTATTATATTGCACCAGTTGTCAGTCACTAGTTATAAGCAGTTGGATCTTTAATTTTCAATGACAACATATATGGATGAGCATAGATATTATATAATATCTTTGTGAAAAAATCGTACGTTTAGGTGATAACAGATAGAAAACATGAATTAACTTTAAACTTGTGATTTATGACTGGTGCAAGAATCCAGCCCAAATCTAAATATACTAGTCAATATCATTGTGTATAAAAAAATACATGAATGTGCCACAACTGCACAATAATTTTAGGTGGTGACCACAACATTCCTGATGCCAGACACTATGATAACTTGGGAATAAATGGAAATTTTCAACAGAATTCTTCTCCTAAACATGGTTTTCACTAAACATTCAGATAATTCAACTTTTCCTGGAGATACAATGATTTTTTTTATTTTCAACATGCAGATTTACGGTATATCAAGGAGTATATTTCAAATATTGACTGGCATACACTTAATTCAATTATATAATAATAATAATAAGTACTAATATTTGTTTACCAAGAAAAAAGTACAGAAATATATTGTTGAAATACACAGTTATATTCACGAAAAATACAGAGTAATATGTAATTGATTATATTTCAATCATGATAACCAGTATGGTAAATAAATTGAGAAAACCCACAAAGGCAAAGTCTGTATGTGGGTATTGGTTACTCTTTGGAGATAGACAAACCAAGATTTTATATCACAATTAACAAAAAAAATAGTTTACACCAAATATATTTAAGGTTAAATATAGAACATACACATACAAGCGACCACAGTTGAGCAATAATTATAAACGAGTACCATAAGATTATACTTTTTAGATGATGTTCATTTCACTTCTTTGATTGACGACTTGTTTATTTTGTAGAAATTCATGTTCACTGAGGATACACTACAAAAACACACACACAAAGTTTTGAAAATGGTGTAATAGCCGAAACTAGTCAAATATCTTGGAAAATAGACAAAAGTGTGTTTTTGTAGTGTATCCTCAGTGATGTTCATTTACTTTTAGTATTGAATATTAATATTGGATACTGTCTATAAATAGAATTAGGTAAAAACGATAACATTGTGAGCTACAGAGATATTGGCAAATTCCAAGATCCAATCTGAAATCTCCAAAATATTGAGTATTTTTTGATCAAAAATATATTTCTTGCTTTTGGTACTTCAAGTACAAATCGCACGTTGAGTCTGTCTGTCTGTACAGGCTTTTCCGAGAACTTCAATAGTCAACCATGAACTTTAACTTCCAAAATATTTCATGGGGGACCAGTGGATCATTGCTAAGTTGCTATGTTAGCTTTTTAAATGGACTTTTTGTTCAACCTTTTCAGAGGCAACTTATCTTTTTGCTTTAAAAACTCTCAATTTCTTTGCAGATCATCTCAAACTTCATTGCCTTGAGAACTATACGATGCTATCGTAGCGTTCTAGTAAAAAATTGTATCAAATCTTTCAAAATGTTATTAATCACCTTTAGGATATTCAGTGGTATGGCTAGATAAATGAAAAATAGCAATTTTTTTGTAATTTCATAATATATTGTAAATTGTATTAGCCCTTTGAATAAGTGAGTAAAATCTAAACATACAAACCATGATGTGAAATTTATTGCAGGTGATATAATCGCTACCTTGGGATATAAAAAAGAAATCATCAGAATTCCTGAAGGTCACTGTTGGATAGAAGGTGACCACACTGGTCACTCTATGGACTCTAACAGATTCGGTCCAGTATCGCTAGGTCTGATTACTGCGAAAGCCACTTGCATTGTATGGCCCCCTTCTCGTTGGCAGCTAATCCACTCTTTCTTACCTGACTCCCGAGTACCTTTGAATCTAGTGTCTAAACCTATACTAGGATTTTCTCAGTACTGAGCAGCCACAAAGACTTTATAAAAATGAGAGCAATATCTTTAGTGAAGAAAATAGAATTTGAATTTACAGGAAATGTTGCTAGAAATGCAGTGACCTTAGGTGATGTTGATAATGATGGATGTAATGAGCTCATCGTTGGAAATCAGAATGGTGATATTGCAATTTTCAAGGTATTTCCATCAATTTTCAAATCAAATATGCCTAATCTTTAGAAATATTGGAAAAGGTGTAGTAGCCAATTTTGATGAAAATTTCAGGATAGCTTCAGAATCTAAATTAGAAAAAACATAAAAAAATGGTTTTGCGGAAATGATATGAAAATCTATATATATAAACGCGAAAGTCACTCACTTAACACTCACACATTTATCTCTGTTTCTTCGTCCTGGTAAGTCCTAGAAAGCTAAAATTTGGTATGTAGGTGCTTCTTAAGTCTTAGATGTGCACTAAAAAAGTATTTTCAAATATTCCAATTGCGGATCCCCCCGTGGCGCGTATACATATGAAAACTACCTTTTCATCACTGTTTCTCTGTACCGCTATATTTTCGTGAAATTTTGTATGTAGGTTTTTTCATGTTGTAGATGTGCAATAAGAAAGAATTTTTATATATTCCAACTGAGAAGCCAGCCGCGGAGGAAAAGGCGCGTTCATAAAATAAGGTAACCTTTTCAACACTGTTTCTCCGTACCGCTATATTTTTGGAAGCTGACATTTTTTATGTGGGTTCGTTTTATGTTGTTAATGTGCAGTAAGAGAGGATTTTCAAATATTCCAACGGGTGCCCCCACTGGGGATAAAAGGAGTGCGTTCACATATGTAGATTACCTTTTCATCACTGTTTTTCCCTACCGCTAAATTTTCGTAGGCAGAAATTTTCTATGTAGGTTCGTTTGATGTTGTAAATGTGTTAGGAATCACACGTTAAAAGGTAAGACCTCGTTAGTCCTTAGCTCGCACAAGTTTCTCAACTTCTGAGAGTTGTCGTTCGTATGGGGGCNAGGGGTGCGTTTACATATGTAAATTACCTTTTCATCACTGATTCTCCGCACCGCTATATTTTCGGGAGCTGAAATTTTGTATGTAGGTTCGTTTTATGTTGTAAACGTGCAATAAGAGAGGATTTTTTTCAATATTCCAACTGGGGCGCCTCCACCGGTGATAAAAGGGGTGCGTTTACATATGTAAATCACCTTTTCATCACTGTTTCTCCGCACCACTATATTTTCGGGAGCTGAAATTTTGTATGTAGGTTCGTTTTATGTTGTTGATGTTCAATAAGAGAGGATTTTCAAAATTTCAACTGGGGCGCCCCCAATGGAGATAAAAGTGGTGCGTTTACATATGTAATTTACCATTTCATTACAGATTCTCCATACCGCTTTATTTCCGTAGACAGAAATTTTCTATGTAGGTTCGTTTGATGTTGTAAACGTGCAATAAGAGATGATTTTTTTCAATATTCCAACTGGGCGCCTCCACTGGTGATAAAAGGGGTGCGTTTACATATGTAAATTACCTTTTCATCACTGTTTCTCCGCACCGCTATATTTTCGGGAGCTGAAATTTTGTATGTAGGTTCGTTTTATGTTGTTAATGTTCAATAAGAGAGGATTTTCAAAATGTCAACTGGGGCGCCCCCACTGCTGATAAAAGGGGTGCGTTTACATATGTAAATTACCTTTTCATCATTGTTCCTCCATATCGCTATATTTTCGGAAGCTGAAATTTCGTATGTAGGTTCGTTTTATGTTGTTAATGTGCGATAAGAGAGGATTTTCAAATATTTCAATTGGGGCGCCCCCACTGGAGATAAAAGGGATGGGTTTACATATGTAATTTACCTTTTCATCACTGATTCTCCATACCGCTTCATTTCCGTAGACAGAAATTTTCTATGTAGGTTTGTTTGATGTTGTAAACGTGCAATAAGAGAGAATTTTTTTGAATATTCCAATTGGAACTCCCCCACTGGAGATAAAAGGGGTGCGTTTACATATGTAAATTATCTTTTCATCACTGATTCTCCATACCGCTATATTTTCGGAAGCTGAAATTTTGTATGTAGGTTCGTTTTATGTTGTAAATGTACTATAAGAGAGGATTTTCAAATATTCCAACTGAAGTGCCCCCACTGGGGATAAAAGGGGTGCGTTCACATATGTAAATTACCTTTTCATCACTGTTTCTCCATACCGCAAAATTTTTGGAGGCTGGAATTTTCTAAGTAGGTTCGTTTTATGTTGTAGGAGTGCAACTGGGCTGGCGGCCCAGTATGAATTTAAAAAAATCCATTCGGAGGACAGTACAGGTCATAATGAAAAATAATTAAATCAGATGCTCAAAATCAGAACCTTGACTTGCAATACAAGCATCAAGTATTCTCCTCATCGAGTGCCGTACACATTCAAAATTTCCTTCGACCCAAAAAGCTTCAATACAAATGCACCAGAAATGAAAAACTAGTTCCTTCCATTGTTGGAAAATACTTCCCGAATAACATGTAACATTTTATTTTTCATCGGAAATGAAGACATTATAATTTTTTTTTACGAATTTTGCGCTGGTCAGGCCCTATCCCCCGAAGCATCGATACATTAATACATTCGGGAAGGTACACCAGCATTATCAACCAATGACCACTCCCCACACCGTGGGGTATGTGATCATTGGGTCCGAGAATCATGTACCCTGAGAAAGCGCATTGTTATTAATGACATCATTTAAGATTCACCCGGTATGCTGGTTAACGGAAAAACAGATTTTAAACAGACAGACAGACAGATGTCAATTTTTTCATGCTTAAAATATGGAGTGAATCTATAAACATGAATATATTATTATCCCATAATTCTTGTAATATTCCAATATTCTTTGAGATGACGAATATACGTACTTTTTCAATCAATAAAAGTCTGTATTTCTATCATTATATTCAAAACATTAGGAAGAAAATATTTGTTTTCATATTATTATGATTAGAAAATTAGAAAAAAATATAGGTAAAAATTATTAGTAATCCAAAATAACGTTATTTTCGGGTCATTCTTTTCCTCATGCATATTTTTATAATGATAATATGACCTCATTCAGCATTCCCAAAATTTCCATCACATTTTTTACGTCCTTCCCAAGACGAAAATATGATGGCGTTTCCATGGGGGGAAATATCATCTCCCTTGTTTTCTTAGGTTATGTTATGGCTTTACAATGCCTAAAATTGGGAGTTATTATCCCAAAAGGAACATATAATGGAAATGATCATCATGATGCTGTTCATTATTTTTAAAACCAATAAGAAACATTTGTTTCATGCATACATATTTCATGAATTTCATGAATTACTTACTGTTAGGTATATGGTTTTAATGTAGCATGAAAAATACTTGAAATTTTCTTTTACATAACAATGAAAATGACTTACAAAGTAAATATATACTAGTGGGCATGTCAAATTTTATAGCAAATTTAAGTTACTAATTCTGTTGTGTGACACATCTGAGGGCTAACAAAGGCCCGAACACAGACCCCTGTGGTACGCCTAGTAACCTCAGATTGGATTCTTTTGAGCGAAATTCGTGTACCAGTTACAGTCCTATGTTTCATTGTATCTAATTATATATTTCAGGGAAAGGAAAAACTGCAGTCAATATCTAAACTAGGTTTTATAACTTGTATTGCTGTTGGAGATGTCACCAACCAAAAGCGTAATGTTTTAACTATTATTACTGCGGATGGTTGGTGCTATCTGTATGCAGCCCCTGAAAATATTTTGGACGATTCTGTGAACACTTTAGATGAATCAGTAGATCAGGTGAGTGATAAAAAAGAATTGATGAAAGTTTCATTGTGACATACCATGTTTTATACATATTTATGCCAGACATAAGAAAAGAACATTGAAGATATAACAATATAAACATGAGACATAATTATATTGAACATGAGTGATGACAGTAAAAACATATTGAAAAATGTTGATAGCTGAACGAAATTTGATAACACTGCAAAATTTCTTGAATATGAATGCTATCATTCAGAAATAGGTTATCCTGATATTTCTGAATGAGAGATTTTTTCTATTATCATGTGTTGAGTGACTAGTTGTAATTTTCAATATTTGTTACTTAGGTAGATGGTCAAATTAATTCCACATCTGGTACTGGTAGCTCAGAAAACTTACCGATAGGCGAGTTTGCAGATTTGAAAATCAAAAAGGATGATTCCGAAAGAGTTCAACTCATTTGTATACATATGCAAAGAATTCCAGCTAATTGCAAGGTACTTTCCATGTAAGATGAAGTCTTGAACTTCGTTAAACAAGAAATTGATGAAATGAAATCAGACTAACAGTTGTCACAGTAAATTAATAATAATGATTTATATGTATAAATAGCGGAGAAATTAGACTGATTATTAGCCAATTTATAACTGTCATTCCCGTTACATTTTCATTTGTTTCCAGGATATTGTTCTTGGTGATGTCGATGGTGATGGAATGATAGAAATGATTCTTGGACTGACAGACCGTGTTGTCCGGTCCTACAGATGGGTTGCCAATCCCTATCTACCTGCGCTAAATCTTACTGACTCCTGTTTGGGTTTCGAACCATCCGATAAACTGTTAGGTATGTTGTCATTTGCACTTTCACACCTCATAGAAATAATGACTTTCAATTTGGGAATTATGAGCCGAATCTAACCTAATTGTCTTTAACATAACCTAACAAAATCCTAAGTTCAAAGTTGGAATGGGGGTTTTTGAAATAGATTAGCTTTCCACACCATCCTTCTCGGTTATGACAATAATTTATTCTTCCGCAGAAATGGAACATATTTAAACAAATGTGAGAGTAATGCTATCAAGTGAATGTGAGGTAGGTCAGAGGAATTTAAATTGTAATAAAATGTACCTTTTGGTTTGGAAAGGGCATTTGTAGAGTTATTATAATAAAATTTATCGATACCAATGACCTCATACTAAATTTCTCACAGCCATAGAAAAATAAAGTGTATTTATAGTATAAGCAATTGTATCATTGCAAGAATATTGTAAGATTGAAAAATACACTCTGTATTCGATATGGAAAGTAATCAGGAGGAGACACTAAAATCTTTTTTTTTCAATTTTTTGAATATGTAAAACAGAATAGTAATAAATGCTTTTATTGAAAGGTTACTCAGTACCAGAGATAGGTTAGGTCCAAAGTGAGTGGGTCTATTCGACCCTCCACCGCAACCCGCAAGGATTTATTGTGGCCCACACCTATACACACTCGACCATATAAACCCAGCTTTTTAACAAAGCCGATTAGTTTGTATGGTGAGTGGTCTTTCAGGTCAAATGGTTAAAACCTGATTCAGTCCCCAGCGGGGCACAAAGTATATGCTGTGTTGTTTCATCGGTAATGAGGTAGTAGGATAGTCAAGGTGCAAGATTTCCACCTTGATACCCGCGACAACCCTCCCATATGACGGTTTTTGCATGTCAGCTACACCTGATGATGCCTTAGATTCAACTGTGCAGGGCTGTTTCACCTCTGGTTTTGGTGAATCATCACTTAAGCATAAACGTTTGCTAACCTGCTCATGGGGGGTTTGTTCCTCCACCTGAGACAGATTCTGCATACGACGCTCAAGAATTTGATGCAAGGTGGTTTTACAAGGTACCCCGCTCTTGAAAAGACAACTCAGTAGTTTCCTCGCTGCACCACCAAATCTTTTTTTTTTAAGTAAAGTTATTGGATCAGGAGTTGGGGAGTTGAGGAGTTGAGAAGCTCTCGCTCCTGAACTAAAGTTACAGGGAGGTCAGTTGGAGTCGTAAACTCGAAATCCATCTCCTTTTTAGACTCGCTCCTGAACTAAATTCACAGGGAGGTCAGTTGGAGTCGTAAATTCGAAATCCATCTCCTTTTCAGACTCGCTCCTGAACTAAATTTACAGGTAGGTCAGTTGAACTCGACATCCATCTCCTCTGTAGACTTGCTCCTGATCTAAATTTACAGACAGGTCAGTTGGTGTCTTAAGCTCGACATCCATTTCTTCCATGGACTCAGCGTCAGGAAGAATTTTTAAGTTTATTCTGTCCATAAAAGTCCCAGGAGAAAGAAGGTCAATCACGGCAGAGCCCCGCATTTCCGTGACAAGGCGATGCTACGACGAGAGTGCGCCCGGTATCTCGAAGATTCCGTAGAGACAGCTGATAGGCTCATGATGTTCACTCATCCTTTCGGCACGTATACACACACATCAAGCCATCGTTGGGACGCCATTCAGTTAGGAAATAACAGAACCACAAGTGACTCATTTTATTCCTTCTAAAAAACAAAACAAAACTTCTCATTTCATTTAGACATTTATTGAAAGAGAATACATTATTATTCATTTGTAAGGTTGATCAGAACAATGTTTTTTCTAATAAAATATTTTTTGATTCTGGAACCACTAATAATAATCATCTATTCAGGTAAATTTGTGGCATTAAACAAATGGGAATGTGCCAACCAAATAGGATCCATAACATTACACCACTCTCTCGATGGCAAAGCATGTTTATTGATTGCCCAACCAGGCGGTACATTCATGAGAATCAAATGCCAATCAGATGACTCAAACGAGCAAAGTAGCATGGAAAATGTTTACCACAGTAACTCAGAGAGGTCTGTTTTCTTGATTTTATACACGTTCAAAAAATAAGGTGAATATTCAACATTTGAAATGTTGAAAGTGGCATAAGGTAATTGTTCTTTGAGCCTGAAAAATGTTTACAAGTAGTACAAGTTTTTCACAGAAGGTCGAGAAGATGTGAATGACGACGCTCGCCCAGGAAGCTCCAGCACATCAAAAACCGATGAATCACTATAAGAAAAGTTGTTGGAGATGTCCGCATATCAATCGGCTTTGGGCCTGAAGCATGTGATAGCGAAATTCGTTTCAAAATTGCTGAATTTTCACCATGAACTGAGCATCAATCAGGAATTGTTAAATGATGTCAACGGCGATCTTAAAAGGGTCATAACTGGTGACGAATCACGGGTATATGGTTATGACATCAAAACCAAAATCCAATTACCATAATGGAAGAGCCCAGAAGGGCCAAGACCAAAAAAATACGCGAGGTTCGATCAAATATCAAAGTTTTGCTCACTGTTTTCTTCAATTACCTTGGCGTAATGCATCAGCAGTTCTTGCAACGTAGTCGGATGGTCAATAAGGAGTATTATCTTGAAGTTATGCGCCACTTGCGAGAAGCGATACTGTCCGGTATTGTGGAAAAACTTTTGCATCACGATAATGCATCTGCTCACTCCTCATTGCTTTTTGATAATTTTTTTGGCCGAAAACAACACTGTAATCATGCTTCCGCCACTGTATTCACCAGATTTGGCCCCCAGCGACTCTATTCTGTTCGCAAGATTGAAGAGACCCATGAAAGGACGGCGTTTTGCGACGATTGAGGAGATGAGAAAACCGAATCGCTTAGAGCTCAAAGACATACCAAAAGATGGATATCAAAACTGCTTCAAGGATCAGAAAAAACGCTGGCACAAGTGTATAATATCTGGTGGGGAATGATTTGAAGGGGACAAAATAGAAATTCATGAATAAATAAGTATTTTTTGAGAAAAATGAAAATTCATCTTATTTTTTGAACAGACAGAGTATTCGAAATGATAACTCAAAAGAGAAAAAAGTATCTTTGGCTTTCTACCTTTCCATTTTCATACAAATAATGTGCGATTCTTCCAACGAAAGGAAGGTTTCAATGGAATTTTTTCCCAGTTTGTATCTGAAAGAGAAACATTTGTGCATATTTATGAAGAGTTTATTGGAATTAATATCTCTCTTCCTCTCTTTGGAAGTTTCCCACATTTTTGTGTCCCATTTCAAAAGAAAATAATGTAGTTTTGTTGATGGTGGAGAAAACATTACAATACCAATTAATTTTTCAGTTCTACTGGCGAACATATGTCAGGATCAGTCGACTATCAATCCCTCGGCATTACTAGGATGAGAAACCAAAATATCTCTACAGAAATATTGGGTGATTTGAGAAACCCGCAGCATGCTGATGAAAATAATCCCTCCAGAAATGGTATGCCTTATGCTTTGGCCACTCTTGATGGAACAATCATATTAGTGAAAGATGAAGTCATATTATGGTAAGGAATGGACTCAAAGCTATGCAAAAGAGAAAGGATTCAAAAGTTAGTTCTAGTCTGGTTCCTCTCAGTTTGATATATTGGTATATTGACTAAGGGATTTCATATTGATTATCATTGAGTACAAAATGGAACTTTGAGAAATGAATCTAAAAATTATTGACCTTGGCTGGCTTAGTAAGTAGTCGGCCTAGCCAAGAGATGGCACCATCAGTAACACTAACGTGTTGTCATTCTCAAATATCAATCTTGAGATAACTACCTTTCAATTTTCAGGAATCTAAGCTATTTAGTTTTTGTTTCAATAATAAGATTCTTGATTTTGAAAAAGAAAAATGATGAAATACGCGATGTATTGAAGGATTTGGGTTGTGAGAAGAGATCATTGTAGAAACTGAGGCTTATTTTGAAGACTTTGCGGTAATGAAGCTCACAGAAAGCAAGCATTCTAGTTTCATTATTATTTCTCCTACCATTTATGTATTTACCTCTTGGAAAATACCGAAAATTGTTCCGCCACGGCATTTGCGTATATCACTGGCAAAATGAACAATATAACATGACACAACATCGAGCTCCAAGAAGTTTGAATTACAGTACCGATAAATTCAAAAGCGAAGAAACGACATTGGAATAAATATGATTTTTACAATTGTGAGTGAAATATAGCGTTGAATTGTAATTTGGGTCGATGAGGTTGTTGAGTTCGTGAATTTCGTGAACAAAGCCCCAAGCGGGGAGTTGTTACTGGTTAACAATCTTTCTCTCAGACGAAGGTTTCATATATGTAGCGGAGCCGTGTTGAAATTAATCTAGTACCAAACACTTTGCTGTCTGGGTAGGATTTTTTCCGTACTGACGAGGTAATACTTTGAAACCACGGTCTGCAGGTGATCTTCTTGAATAATTTCAGCATAGTCCTGCTGCTGGATGAACGAGAAACATCTGCGAGACTAGCCTCTGTAGGAATCTCATATAACAGACATAAATGTCTGTCGGATATAATTCAATATCTAGCGTGGTATTAGCCCGGGAAGTAGTTGTTTTTCGACATACGTTTACCACACCCTACTGTGTAGGTAGTTGGGAAGGATTAATATTTCGAAATATTTATTTCCTCATACGTATATGTCTTCTCACTGTTGACTTAATTATTTAATCATTGGGAATGCCCCAAATACGGAGCGTCGCAACTTACCAACAATATATTCACATTATATTCTTTCTTTTCAGGGCAATTGCTGTAGACCACCAAATTTTTGCATTAACGAAAATGGACGTCACTGGCAATGGTTCTGACGACATAGTTGTGTGTTGCTGGGATGGTCAAACGTACATTTTGGATCAAGAAAAGAACTCTTTGAGATTCCATTTGGATGAACCAGTTCAAGCATTCGCAAGTGGTTACTATGGCATTACAACCAATGTCCCAGATGTTACATCCCTTGTGTATGTAACGTTTAAAAATAGTGTAAGTGCATTCTTGTGGATATCACAATATCTTACGGAATCTTTCTAAAACAAGCACTTTTTCCAATCACAAGAACTTCAATACTGGTCTCTATTTATATCTAACAGAGTACACTTTCACTTTCTGATCCACATCAATAATTAAGGGAAACTATCTTCTGGAAGTTTCCGCAAATTTCAACATTTTCAACATTTCAACAATAGTGTGGGCTGTTTGGAATGGAACCTTTGCCACTATTCATGGTTCTCATGCCAAGCATTCAAAAATATAGTATGTCCCCCTTTCAAGAATCTCGAGTAGTTCTCATTTATTCTATGACAGTTCTCCAAGGCGTGTTGAGCGACACTATATTTTTCTGGTCTTCGTAGTCGGATATGTGCTGCGTGTTTTTTGAAACAAGTTTCAATGGCTCGCTCAATCTGACCAATATACTTTTTGTCACAGTCCTCATTGCTCATTTCATACATCCCCAACTCTTCATTTTAAATAAGCTTTTATGTTCTTGCCAATGTTTCGAATTCAATTTAATTCTTCTTCAGGTTCTGGAATAATGAATTTTATAATACATACTTGCCACAAACTCCATATCTGTTGCCATTTTTAAAGTTGTGAGAAGTAGTAATACAATTACTCATCGAAAAGGTGATTTTCCACGTAAAAACTATAACTGAATTCAAAAATCATTAGACGTTTTATATACAGTGTTTTTATATGCATCTAGTTTAAGGATTTTTATCTTCAGTTATAGTTTTAACATGGAAAAACTTCTTATAATTTTATTACAACTTCTTACATCATTTGAAACAACAACAGTTATAAAGTTTGTGACAGGTGTGTTTTATAAAATTTATTGTTACAGACCCCTGAAGAAGAATTGGATTGAATTCTAATCGTTGACAAGAAAATAACTGTTTTTTTAGAATAAATTGACCATGTTACCCAATAAACTATTCTAGAAATCAATAGGTATACATCAACGATTTAAAATTCAGTTTTAAGTAACATATTTTTCTTTCAGATTGTCATATATTATGACCTTCCTCTAAGAGAGCTTACATGCAAAAAATTTGAACCTGATCCTGAGAAACTAAGTGAACTTTTTGTTGATGGTAGTAGAAGTAAAAATGATGCCCTGGAACTTGTGAAGAATATGAGCAAAAAAGCGAAAAAAGAACTTGTAGGATACCTTTTGTATAATACCTAGTGATCATCAGCTGTGTTCATTTTGAAAAACTTACGGTAATAATCAAATAACTATTTTATAGAACTTTTTTTTGTTGTATATTTTTAAAAATTCAATAAAGTATATGAAAGTTGGGGAAAACACAAGTTTTGACATTTGCTCTCCTAAACCTATCCTAATCTCCTTATACCCGTAATAAGCCTGTCAAATAGTTTTTTCTATTTGAATTAAAGGGGTTATATTTTTAGGAGTGATTAATTTTTGGGAAAGTTTTTGGCTTTCTACTACTCCATCTTGATACAAAACAAAATGTGGGAATCTTCCAAAGAAAGGAAGGAAGTAATCAATTTGAAAATAAGTAACTCTATACATAGATGTGTAGATCATGCAAAGAAGCAACTTTCAGACACAAACTGGAAGAAAGCCCTCCTGAAACAGCTACTTTCATATGAACATTGAATTCCACGAAAGTAAAAATTCTTTTGAAAAAAATACTTTTACATGAATACTGAATTATACAGAAAATACTTTTCTCTACTCAATTTGTATTCCAAACATTCGTTATGGAATAAAATTCAGATATCATTCACAGGAGTTCTACTTTAAATGAATGGTAACAAATTGAACTTACATGGAACACTGTCATCCTTACTGGTTACTTGTTTTCAAATTGATACATTTCTTCCTTTCTTTGTATCTTTCTTCCTCCTTTTTTTGTATCAAGATGGAGTAGTAGAAAGCCAAAGTTTTACTATTGTTTTCAATGTGAATGATATGATACTAGTGATGCACTGTTTACAACCTTTGATGTAGTAATGAATATTACTGGAGTTTTTTCCCAACACCAAACCGATATTTTAACACCTCGACATGTGTTTCGATCACCAAGTGATCATCTTCAAACAGATCTGGTGTTGGCAAAAAACTTCATTAGTATTCTTCGCTATGATACTAATTGTACTCAAGGCCTTCACAGAGTCCATTTCAATTTTCCTAGGATATCAAGTGAAGATGGCCCTGATTAGTTTCTATGCTTTGAATACGTATACCAGGCCAAACTTTCTCTGAGGACTACACTCAATTTTATAAATTTGTTCCAGACCTTTTTGCAGTATTACTGGATAAATTCCTTCTGGTCCAGGCAACTTTGTCAGGAACTGTACCCTCCCAAGTGGGCCGCTTATGTTCAGCTACCTATTTTCTGATCGTTCTCCTTGTATGAACTAGTTTTTTATAAACGATATTTAAGGGTCTTCAATGATGTGTTTCTGAAGAATGACTTTTGCGCAAGTGACATGTTTTGTCTGCCTATCGTCAGGTGGGTTCGAGTGTCAAAGTCAAAATATGCTTTATTTTCCGAAGATTCATATCTTATTGACAAAGCATATTAGCTATCGCTACTTGTCATATAAAACTATAAAATAATAATAGTAGATAAGTAAGTCGTCAAAATTGAGTTTGAAGGAAAATATGTTTGTTTCATTTGTGTTGAAACAGAAGGAATCGCATCACTGTTCAACCCTATAGAGGTCCAGAGTTATATATGATGTCTCTGAGATTATCTTCATTTATCCCACGCCAAAGGATCGTGGTGTCATCCGCAAAAAGTGTGAACTCCCCTTTAATGTCAATGGTTACCAGATCATTCAGATAAAGCAGAAAAAGGAAAGGACTCAGAACCTAACCTTGTGGTACACCTGATGTATTATTCTCAATATGCGATGTATTTCCTTGGAATTTTACTAACTGCTTCCTGCCTGTTACATAACTGTAAAGCTTGTATAGACAGTCCTCTAAAGCCATGGCACTGAAGTTTAAATAATAGTGCTTCATAGTTCACGCAGTAGAACGCTTTTGTGAAATCACAGAATACTGCCCCAATAGATTCGTTATTATTTAAACCAATATATACATCTTCCAGAATAAAAAAGAGTGTAACAGAGAAGTGAATAGATGCATCTCTCAACAAGTATCCATTTAAATCAAGCTGCTAAAATACTTCCATGGAGCAACATCCAGACAGAAATATTCATTTCGGTTCTGTGTGCTAATATAAGCACGTACACACGCCACAGACGGTTTTCCAAATGAATATAGTCTTCAGCGTGACGTACCTTATATCGCTGCCTGAAAATATTTGTAAAACCATAGCTATCGGATTGTCGGTTACTGCAGTCAGTTGTCCTTAAAAAAACAAGCCAGAGTAAGTAAGGGCCACGACATCTCACATGAAAACGCCATCTGTGGGACCGACAGAAAACTCATTCTTCGTATATTAAAGATAAACAAGGCTTCCCAAGGCGGTCAGTTGGAAAGTCAAGTTTCGACTTCGACCGCCGATGAGATTCGTCTGTAGTCTTTCACTGCAAGGCAACTCATAGAAAACCAGATACCAAACACATTGCAGTTATCATTTGACACTAGACAGTGCTGTTTCGACCCGCTATAGGTCTCATCACTGAAGCTAGGCTGAACCACAACACAGCTGGTTTCCAAATTGGTCAGAGAAAGGCAACCAAATCAAATCAAAATATGCTTTATTACCCAAGATCTAAACATCTTATTGGCAAATTCTAGTAAAATGAAATGTGTATATAGGACAATTAACAAATATAAACTATAAAATAATGCTTAGAGACAAGAGCAGAGTATATGGACAGAACGATATTAAGCCCAGCTGAACAGATACAAATATAGGTACATGAATATATGAATATTGAGTAAATGTAAATATATAATGCTATGTAACGAACATTGATAGCCATTTCGCGTTGATTACAATAACTTGTTTACACAAAGCTACATGCCAATTACTCTATAGAGCCTTGGTAGAATTCGTCCACACTATATCTCAACAAGGAATTCTTTTACTTTCTTTCTGAATTTTTTTTCATTATATATTCGCCTTAAATTAATGGGAAGGTGATTGAATAACTTCTTGCTATTGAAAATGATAGAATTTTGTGTAAGGGCTAGAATAGGTGTTGGAAGGGAAATAAAGTAAGATTGACGTGTACTATAAGTTGAGGTGGTATTAAATTGATTTTTATATTTTTTGTGGGTACTAAGGTCAGAATTTTTCGCTTCACAAATTGATCTTTTTTGTAGAGAGAATAAATACCATATTGAGAGGGAATTGTGCACAATTTACCCAGGAACAAATCCCATAACGTAAATAGGTGTCAATTTGTCCAAAATAAACTGATCTTGTGATAGTGGTGTCTAACTCTCTTGCAACAACCCTCACTGCATGCCATCCTGCTGCTAGTCTTTTACATAAGTATTCGACGATGATTTGATCAAGTAAGTTGGAGGCGGTATTGCTATGCCAGAGGATAGTGTGACACCAGCGAAACATGTGAATTTACCACTTATGTCAACATGGACTAAGTCATTGACATAAATGAGAAACAGCACCGGTCCCAAAACGGAACCTTGTGGGACCCCACTGCCAATGAAACGTTCCTCGAATGAAATTCCATCTAATAGAACATTCTGCCGCCAATGAGAAAGGAACGCCTCAAACCAAAGTAATGCAGATCCTCCAAATCCGTAAACTTCTAGCTTGCGAAGAAGTAGCATGTGGTCTACACAATCGAAGGCCTTGGTTAGGTCACAAATCATGGCCGCCGCAGATTCTCTTTCATTAAGATTGTTGTACAGGTGAGCGTGTTGTGTACTTTTGGAGATTGAAAGAAAAACTGGAATAAAATTATTATATTGTAATGTTATACTTCCATTCGAGTTGGCACACGCTATATATATTCTACACACTTCCTGGAAAACATGACGAAGATGTACTTTTAGATGATGTACATTCAAGTTTAATGAACGACCCAAATAGTATCAGAGTTCACCTTAAACTAACGTCACTAATAATGGATAAATGCTCTCTCGAATTATATCATTAAAGTCATTAAAATCTAAAAATGAAAATTGAGTTATGTGTTTTTATTAAATCAATGAATTTAATAATATAGTTCTATCAGAACCTATACTCAACAAATGATTCGAAATTATCGATTTTCGGTCATCACATACACCAAAAGTTGATTTCAAAAATCTTCATTGAAAAGGGAATACTCATCAATTCGCCAATTTTTTTCACACAAAATAATTTTCTGAACTGAAAATGTCAAAATCTGAAAATTATGTGATTTTTTCTGAAACTAGACCAAATGTATGTAAAATAGTTCCATGCTCTGATAAACTATTGTTACACATAGATACATCAATTTGAATTATAGTGAAATTTGTTAAATTCAGATTAATAATAGTAAAATGTTTATTCCCTGTTTACGATACATTGTGTATATATGGTGTCACGATAGTATAATACACTTTGCATGGTCAAATTATTGATACTGAATTCAAGACATTGAGTAAAATATAATAACCCACACAGCACTAGATATTCATGGAATATTCCCTGTTTATCATAAAACGAACGTATATATTCCAAATATTCATAGAATATTCTTGGAATATATACATGCCTTTAGAATATTCATAGAATATGCTTGAATGAATATGGCAGGATTATTCCCGAAAGAATGTGCATAGAATGTCTATAAATGGATTATTCTCCCTTGAATATTCTAAGAATATTGTCGATCGAATATACCATATGGTATATTCTTAGAATATATCCCCACGGTATATTTTGGAATATTCTATACAATGGAATTTTGAATTATCTTATAATAACGTATTCAAATAATTCAATATTATTAAAAACAANTAGTATATTTTTTAGTATACATTTGTTTGAGAGTAGGAACATCCTAATTTGAATACATTTCTAATATTTGTAATATGACAGTATTCAGGAATATTTTATTCAGTGAATAAATATTTTGAATTAGATTTTTTATTTTTAATATTGGTTGAAACGTCAAATATTTCAGTGTATATTGTTTTTAAAATATATTTGTTTATGAATATTATGTGTTTTATTACTTGTGTGAATCTTGTATCAAAATGCAATATATACATGCCTAATAGCGGTTACTCGTCACATTCTTGGAATATTCCAAATATTCCTAGAATATTCATAAAATATATTTAAAGAATATTCTATGGTGTTTCTCTATTGTATATTCCTACAATAAACTAAGAATATCCTGAATATTTTATGAATATT